CAACTCTTTGTACTCTGTTTTAAGCCAATGTTTTACCCAAGAACAAGCATTTTCATCTAGACCGATTTCCTTGAGTTTGAACACTAATCTATTGTGTGGAACTGTATCAAATGCTTTGGCAAAATCCAAATAGATCACATCCACTGCAACACCCTGATCTATACTTCTACTTACTTCTTCGTAGAACGCAATCAAGTTAGTTTGACATGACCTGTGCTTCATAAAACCGTGCTGATTTTTGCTGATAATCATGTTCTTCTCAAGGAATTCTTGAATATTATCCCTTAATAACCTTTCAAATATTTTCCCAGCCACAGGAAGTTAAGCTCACAGGTCTTTAATTTCCAGGCAAGGATTTTGAACCCTTTTTGAATATAGGAACCACATCTGCCTTCCTCCAATCCTCCGGAACACTTCCTGAAAGAAAGAATCTTGAAAGATTAAAAACAGAGGTTCACTTATTTCTGCACTTAGTTCCTTAAGTACACGTGGATGGATACCGTCAGGCCCTGGAGCTTTGTTTATATTAACTTTCTTTAGTTGCTGCAGCACCTTGTCTTGAGTTAACCAATTACAATTATTCTGCAAGTTTTTAGTAGCAATCATTTGCAAATCTATTGCCATGGGTTCTTCCTTAATATATACGGAGGAGAAAAAGTTATTTAAAATTCCTGCCTTTTCCTGGTCTTCATTAATTAACACCCCAGTTTCAGTTTTTAGTGTACCTACACTTTCATTTTGGGGTTTTTTAGAATTTATGTACTTAAAAAATGCGTTGGGGTTGGTTTTGCTCTCTTCAGCTATCATCATTTCATTTTGAAGTTTAGCAAGTCTAATTGCCCTTTTGCACGCATTATTTGCATCCTTATATCTTTTATAAAATGCATCTGATTTGTCCGATTTAAATGCTTTAAATGCCCTTCTCTTAGTTGTAATCTCTTGTTTTACTTCTCTACTAAGCCATGTTGGTTTTAATTTGTTTCTTTTATATTTATTTCCCAATGGTACATACTGAGAAATGTTCCTTTGTAATATTTGTTGGAAGATGATCCATTTATCCTCAGTGTTCTTTTCACTAAAGAGTTTATGCCAGTCAATATATTGTAAAGCTTCCCTTAACTTATTGAAATTGGCCTTTTAAAAATTATATGTTTTAGTATTCCCCATGTGCTTTTGTTTTTTTGAGTTTATTTCAAAGGACACTATATTGTGATCACTATTTCCCAAGTGCTCACCTACTTGAATGTTGGTCAAAAGATCAACGTTGTTTGTTAAAACCAGGTCCAGACAAGCATCCATTCTAGTTGGTGCTTGTACAAGTTGTGACATGAAGGTGTCATTTAACAAGTTTAAAAACCTAATTCCCTTTGCTGAGGCACTAGTCCCTCTGTCCCAATTTATATCCGGGTAATTAAAATCTCCAATAATTAAAGTGTTACCCAGATTTGCAGCTTTCTCAATTTGCTCAAACAGCTGTTGTTCCTTGTCAATATTAACCAGTGGGCAGGTCCAAAGGAAACAGGGACAAATCCTGCAGCTTCAGGCTTGAATACAAGTTAGATTTTACTATATTTAGGGAGGCATGAGGGGGACAGGGAGAGCTTAATGGTGGTTTTAACCCTATAGGGTCAGGAATACATGTTTGTGTTCCTGCCCTTTAGTGCTCCTTTAATACACTTAATATGTTGTATAATTCGTTCTGCTGATTTGTACTAGAATGTAATTACTTTACCCACCACTGTGACATGTTAAAAGAGCTAAACTGGTTGTCGCTGGAATCCCGACGCACTCTTCAGCTTTCCATCCTTGTGCATTAGAGTACTTCAGGGACGTTCCCACCCAACCTGAGTAGAATGCTCTCCCCTGCTCTTCCGACCTCCTATAATCTCCAATCCAGTACTTGCACGATATATAGCATACCGCAATACAAAAATAAAGTGTCTCAATCCTCTTTTTTTCCTACAGAGCACCACAATTATGGAATAACCTCCGTGACACAGTCAAATCTAAAATCTTTTAAGAGATCTATGGCAATATACCTCAACACAGAATGCACCTTTGAATATATTTATTACCTGTTATGTATAAAATTTATATATATATATATAGTTTGTATATTGTATTTTTTTAATATTGTATCTTATTGTAATAATGCAATGTTTTGTGGACAAAGACCCAGGACATACTTGAAAACAGGAGAAATCTTAATGTGTCCGGCCTTGTAAAATATTTTATAATTAAATATAAAATATTAATCTTGTTTTGTGCTTTTCCACCCTAATGAAGGTTTCTTTAGATACTTTGTATATGACTGCTGTCAAGCATATTTTTGAAAAGAGCTTAAGACCTAAAGCACTAAAGCTGAAAAACAATGAAACCTCCTCCATCATTACCAAGGAAACTGCTAAAACGGTTAAAACCATTCAGTCTTACTTGCAGTCCATAAGTAATCCAGAATGGGCTGCAGCTATTGCACACAGACTTGCCCAAGAACTCCCAACTGGTAAGATTCCAGCTAGTATTGTATTTTAGAAATGAAAAACAAGTTGTATGGTGCTAATTTGTACTAGGCAAAAATATTTATCGTGTATTTTCAATTTGTGTTTTAGGACCTGATAAGATTCATGCACTAAAATTTTGTCTTCATTTGGCTGAAAAGTGGAAAAACACCTTATCACCAAAGGTAAGATTTGCTTGTGTAATGACTGGGGGGAAAAGGTAACTGAGTAAGTCTTTATTAGTGTCTGTTGCAAAAGCAGAAGGATGTGAAACCCTCAATTTTTTGTTTTGTATGTTTTTTTTATTGTTTTTCTTCTAATCACCAGAGGAAGGGTAGTTGGTGTTATTTACTTACCATGAAAAGAGCTAAAACAATATTCAAATACTTGGAAAAGAAAAGCACATCATGATGTTTTGGTTAGGTGCCTACATACCTTTGCATCCTGAATAAGACATTTCCCAGGTATGCATGCAAAACAATCATACCCACTCATAGTGCATTACAAAAGTCCAGTGAATTTTGGGCCCGACAATCTGAAATTTGTTCCTATTTTGTAGATGCCTGTTAGTATAAATAATATAATCAACAGGGAAGTAGAAGCAGGCTGTCAGAAACTCCCTATCTCTTGTAAAATGCATGTGGATTCAAAATCAAAAAGTGTTTCTTTGTGTGCAATGTCATATTTTTTTTAAATTATTTTTTTTTTGCATCATGTGGGAGATCTTGACAACCAGTTATTTGATACTAATGTATATAAAAAAAAACTCCTTGGATTGTTCAGATAAACAAGTTAGAGCACATTAAAGGGACGCTATAGTCACCCAGACCACTTAAGCTCAATGAAGTGGTCTGGGTGCCAGGTCCCTCAGGTTTTAATCCTTCACATGTAAACATAGCAGTTTCAGAAAAACTTCTATGTTTATATAGCAGGGTTAATCCAACCTCTAGTGGCTGTCTTCCTGAGGCGCATCTGCAACGCTGTATGCGAAATTTGCATCCAGCGTGCAGTACGTCCATAGGAAAGCATTGAGAAATGCTTTCCTATAGACAGTTTGAATGCACACGTGGCACTTGCCGTGCATGCGCATTCCGCTCTACTCGGGAGCTGGCGTCGGTGGAGGAGGAGAGGTCACCAGCGCCGAGGGTGCCTGGCGCTGGATTACGGTTTAAGTGGCTAGAGGGGGGCACCCTTAGGGCACTATAGTGTCAGGAAAACCGCTATAATGATCCTTTAATAATTTATAAAACCTTACACTAGGGTTCTAGTAATGCCCCACCTCTTCGCCTAATTTATCTTTTCATGTTTCTTTTAGTATGTTTAGCCTTGTATTAATTGATATAGTTGATAGCAGGTCTGTCATTAGTATTAGCAGGTATTGTCATTGACACTAGGTTACCTAGTCATTAAAGGGAACTATCACTTTTTTTTTTTTAATTTAAATTACTCCCTTGAATAAAACATAGAAATCACGACTAAATTGTGCCAACTTGTTTGTTTTTCTTCTTTATTTTTTTCCTTAGCAAATACATCATAATCCAGTTCAGTCAGGATACATGAGCAGAACTCTAGACAATATAGAGAAACGGTCTGTGTGCAGTGTTTTCAGCCAAAAAAAACAATGCACATACAGATTGCTTGCTCCATGACCACTTCTAAAATCAGAAGTGGTCATAGAGTTAGAGTAACCCTTTAAATCTTTTGGGTTTTTTTCATCTGTTGCTTTTTTTTTTTTGTGCTCTGTCATTTTTAAATATATACCGTTTTTCACATATACAATTGTTTATGGATTTTTCTGGTCTTTTCTCAGAGAGAAAAGTTGTAGAATTTTCCTGCTACTGTAAATTTGGTGGCTTTTGAAATGAATATTTCTGCAAAACTGATGGTATTTACTGTAAAGTAAACTGTCACTTTTAAGGTTACTAAATAAAATGATATATGAATCTCAGCCAGGGGAGGTTTGCAGGAACAAAGTGATTTAACTCCTAAATGGCAAAAAATTGAGCAGTGAGACTGCAGGGGCCTGATCTACAACATAAGTGCTTCACTGTAACTTTTAAGAGCACCTTGATAAATATTTCTGTTTCTATATCTTTGCGTGCTATATTCAGTGATGTTAAAGGGCAGGAAGGGAACCAAGATGGAGTCGCTCAGTTCCATGATCGAGCTAAATACAGAAGTGTGAATTTCTACATTTCATTTTATTTCTTGGACAACACATTTTTTTTTTCATTTTTTTTGTAGATAAGGTGTAAACTTAAGATTACAAATCACTGGAAGTGACTGTTCCTAGATCTCAATCTGCTTGAGCATGAGCAAATCATGGGGGGCCCACCTAGCAATTTTCAGATCAAGGATCTGCTGCTAATGTCTTGGTGCCAGATTCCACGGGACACATTCAGAGGTCTGGTGGAGTCCTTATCTGGACGCATCAGAGCGGTTTCGGCAGTGAATGGGGTACCTACACGATATTAGACAGGTGTTGTGTTTCAATGTTGTGGCTGATTAGTGTATATGTTACAATAACATTTTTATGCAATAATCTAAAACCTGAAATTATGACATTTGCTATTTAATCACATACTTCACTTTTATCTCTAATTTGTTTTTTACCAATTTGATTGTTTTAAGGAAGAAGCACATGACCGAGCTGAGTTGCTGATAAAGAAACTCGGTGTGCAATATCAAAGGTCTGCTACAGAGAATGTTCTGATCTCTCACAAGCTGGACTCTGCTGAGTTCCTCAAACAGATAGGAAAACCAGCCAATCTTATAGTGTCTCTCTACGAACACAGTAGTGTGGAAAAAAGAATAAGGATACCAACAGGCAGAGATTACCCAGGTCTGTAGGAAGCAGACACATTACTTTTGTGTCATATGTTAAGTATGCATTGTGCTGGAACATGTGTTTTCTCTCTTGTTTCATTGTCTCTTGTTTCCAGCGTTAACTGTGACACTCCATTTTGCAGCTCCAGATTTAGAGCACTGTACGTGTGTAAAAATGCTTGTATTTTTTACAATAATCAACCTGTAAATGTATAGTTTCACATTACAGAACCAATAAAATGCTATATATCACTTTAAAATATGAATGTATAAAATGGAAATGTAGTTCTAGTTTAGTTTTGTTAACCCACACACTTTAACACTTATTTTTGAAACAACTGGTTTATACTTTTTTTAGACATTACTATTTTTTCTTTTAGTCATCATATTTTCTATTTTTAATACACACAATCTTTTTGTGGTTATGAGTAAGAATTTCCTTAATATTCACACAGGAAGAAAATAGCAACAGCATTTTTTTCAATTTTTCATATTTGTTTTGTAAATACTGTATTTTCTGGCGTATAAGATGACTTTTTAACCCTGAAAAATCTTCTCCAAAGTCGGGGGTCGTCTTATACGCCGGATATAGGGTCTATATGGCTGCCGGGGGCGCCCTGCGACCCCATCACTGGCCCTTCTAATGCTGCAGCCGCCTGAGCGCTCTATAGAGAGCGCTCAGATGGCTGCCGCACTGCCTCTCTTCTCACCTCCTCTTCCCTGTGCAGAGTGGGTGGCCGAGCTCCTCTTCGTCCTGTCGGACTGAAAGGAAGTGCACAGGGAAGGGGAGGTAAGAAGAATGTAGGCATGGATTTTATGCCCAAACAGCCGGGCACATACCTGGGCTTTAAATGCTATTTCAGATTATCATTATTTAATGTCTTGCTGTGTAGCTCACTGTACATCATGGATAATTTTTATTTGGTGTGCATTGGAAGAGGGGTAGTCTTATACGGCGAGTTTATCCCAAACTCTATATTTTAACTGGAAAAGTTGGGGGTCGTCTTATACGCCCAGTCGTCTTATACACCGGAAAATACGGTATATTTTTATTGGCATTCCATTTTCATTTTAGAGTCAAATCAGATGTATAGTAAAACATCAGAGATGGGACACACAGGTCTCCAGTAATCATATCAAACATAGAAAAATAAATTAAAGCAAATTGTACATACGCATGGGAGCTTTTTTATTAGGGGACACGCAGGTCCAAAACCACAAAGGAGTAACAGATAAGGGGTACTCCCAGGTCTCTCAATATGCAGCAGGTAAAAGGAACATATGGTCAATAGCCTGCATTGAAAAATTATATCCTTGAATATTCTGTTTTTGAAAGTATGCATCTAGTTGCTGTTTCAACATCTGTATGTACTCTGATAAAACCACTTCTTCAGGCAGAGAATTCCACATCCTTATTGTTCTTACAGTAAACAAAACTTGTTTGCCTTAGACGAAAACTTCTTTCTTCCAGTCTAAACGCATGACCTTGTGTCCTATGTAAAGTCTGGTTTGTGAATAGATTTCCACACAATGGTTTATATTGGCCCCGAATGTATTTGTATAATGTTATCATATCCCCTCTCAGGCAATGTTTTTCTAAACTAAAGAGGTTTAAATTTGTTAACCTTCATAGCTGATATATTCCATTCCTTTTATTAGTTTTGTAGCCCGCCTCTGCACTTTGTCTAGTGCCATAATATCCTTCTTTAGAACAAGTGCCAAAAATTG